GTTAACCCTCTGCTAATGCTGTTTAGTTTTCAGCGAGGCATAGGAATTCTGTAATGATTCATGTAACTCCTTTTACTAAAGCCTTGCTTTTCAGTAAAAATCTACAGTTTCATGGTTGAAACTGGATGTTTTGTATTATATGAACGTATATAATAATTTCTAAGGATGGGAACCAAGGTTTCTGCTTTGGAAAATTCAGTTGACAAGAAAAGTAGTAATATGTCATACTTAAAGAGCTTGAGAGCTTGTTCTGGTAAATGCTGATACTCATAATTTTTCAAGGAGTTTTGAGGTGATATTAATTTTCTGTCTTTGAAATGTCATCATGCTTTCTTTTGCTCCCAAACTTAAGTAATAAAAATCTGGATTGCAGTGATAGCAAAACCATTGTAAATACTTTGTTACAGCCCATTTTTGTGTCCTGGTTTCTCTTTTTAATCCTTTTACATTTGTGCTTTCTAGGTGAAGCTTGCACCATAGTTTTGCGTGGAGCCACACAGCAGATTCTAGATGAAGCAGAGAGGTCTTTGCATGATGCTCTCTGTGTCCTGGCTCAGACTGTGAAGGACACAAGAACTGTGTATGGTGGAGGTGAATATCAAATTCTTTGTAAATGTCACACATTTTGTATTACTGAACATCAGATGTGTAACATCTGTGTATCTTCAATGAACAGGTTGTTCGGAGATGCTGATGGCTAATGCTGTTGCAGAACTTGCTGTCAGAACACCTGGCAAAGAGTCTGTTGCTATGGAGTCCTTTGCTAAGGCTTTACGAATGGTAGGTTTATGTAATCAGATTGCTGTATTAAGAGACAAAGTTTCGTGAAGTTTACAAACTTGTGACATCAGATATTTGCTTCACTTTAAGAGTTTTGGTTGTCCAAAGTAAAAAAGTGACGTTTAGCAATACATCTTGGATAAACAAAGGGGGAAATTGTTTTTTTCTCTTAGGAAAAAAGTAGTGGTGTTTTAATAATTCTGCATGTTACAGAATTGTGAATGTTCATATGCTAGCCCTCTAATTGGTTCTTGCTGTCCTTACCTGATAGTTAAAAGTGCTGCAGAAATAGTACATAAAAATCTAATCTTATGTAGTTGACAACTGATTTAGAAAAGAGCAACCCTTCTGTTCCATTGATGCTGTAGTGCTGTTTAGGTGTATCCATACTCTAGTACTATCTACAAGTTTCTAGTCTTGAACTGGAGATTGCATCTTAGTAGGAAATAAGAGTGTCACAAGAAATACTAATACAGTTGTGCTAATAGGCTGTCAATTTGAGAAAAAATTGACTTTCTGCAATTTAAATTTGGGAAAACCTTTCTCCCAAGAAAATTCAAGAGCATAGTAACACTTGGCATCACCTCTTCAGTCAACACGTGCAAGTTTGCACTGCTGTCACAGAAACAGTGAACAGAATGGTCAGGTAGTTAATGCTTCCCAGCAGACCTGTGCTTTTTAAATTAAAAAAATTCTCCAGTTGTAGTCTGAAATTATAAAACAAAAGATTATTTTTTTTTTATTCTGTCCGTGTAAAATGAACTGACAAATCTGCTAACATGCTTTTGTCCTCTTAGGTACTTTCTTAAAACAGGGTCTTGAAATTCTTAGAAAGTTAGTTTGGGTTTTTTACTTTCTCCTTATCACATTAACAGATCATCTGCCATGTTTCTGAAGCATCTTCTTGAAGTTCATTTGTAAACTAATAACATCAAAGTATGTTTCATGTTTACTAACAGTCAGTCCCCATGTTAATTAAAACCAACCTGTGTTTATCCCCTTAGATCCCAACAATAATAGCTGATAATGCTGGCTATGACAGTGCTGATTTGGTTGCTCAGCTCAGAGCTGCTCATAGTGAAGGGAAGACCACTTACGGACTGGGTAAGTGGATGAGTTTTGCTTCTATTTGAATTGCTGTTTGGCAGGTCCATTAAGCTCATTAAAATTGTTCATGTATGTCTGTCACATAGATTCAGTAGGGAGAGCTGAGTATGCTGATTTGTTTGCTTTGCCTAGAGCTTGGGTGTACAGCACTACATTCCTTTTCTGTTCTAACAGCCTTTTGACAGTAGAGTGAAAACCTTTGTTTCTTAAGTGGATGGTTTCCACCTCTAAATGCACTTTCCTTACACTGAGTCTAGTTATAGGAAGCTTAAAAAGAAAAGCATTGTTCTAAAACCAGCAACCAGCTAAAACCCCATAAGAACAGAACATCCTTCCCTTTCCCCCTGCCCTTCCAGAAAAAAAACCAAAACAAACCCCAAACCCAACAACCCAACTGAACAACAACCACAGAGTTGTGGAGAAGAATCCTCAAGTTAATATACCTAAGGACATAGTGCTGAGAGTCCTATTGGGATCTTGTGTCCTCATCACAGTGTATAAAATTTTTGCCATTGTTTGTAAGTAATTTTAACATTAGGCTTAAATCAGGAGCCTTGATGTAGAAGATTTTATTTAATACTTCCCCTAACTATCAGTGTAGTTCATTTGAGCAGGTGAATTACTATGATCTCAGCCTCTTGTAATTTCCTTAAATAAAATGCTGAGTTAAAAAAAAACCAACAAAAACCAAAAAACCATCTCTTAATGTATTTCTTCTTACAGATATGAAAGAGGGTGTCATTGGGGACATGTCAGTTTTGGGAGTAACAGAAAGTTTCCATGTCAAGAGACAAGTTTTGCTGAGTGCAGCTGAAGCAGCAGAAATGATTCTTCGTGTAGATGACATCATTAAAGCAGCACCAAGGTATGATCAGAGTATCTGCGTGGTCAGTCACAGTGGTGTAAACCTCCTTCTGTGGAAGAGTAAGGGTGCAGAGAAGTCTTGATCTAAAAAAGGGAAACTTTTTTAGTTTTGAAAGGGAACCTGGCATGTGACATACAGATGTTCATATTAGATCATTTTATTACATTACCAGTATCATCAGGCCTTTAGTGCCATCAGCAAACTTAAATTGCACTGCCTGAGTAATGCCTAGTTAATCTCAGGTCACCGCTAAACACCTGTACAAGTGGCTGACCAAAATGTAAGGGGTCATGCTTTCTTTTTTCTTTTGGCAAGAATTGTAGTGAAATGTCCAGCTATTTCCAAGATAGAATCTGCAGCTAAAACAGAAACATGTTTGTTACAAGGTTTGAGAAGAATTGCTGCTGATAGGCAGGTGCCTGGGTGCTTGCTACCAGGTAGTTTTCCCTGCTTTTTGAATCACAAGATTTGTTTTTAGCATAGTCATGGGTGGTGTGTTAGCTCTGAGGTGGTTCTGGTTTTTATGTGTTGAGATAAAGCTGTCACTGAACACAAAATACTAGTTAAAGATTAAAAATAAGGGTGGGTGAGGAGTGGCTAGTGGACATCAGTGTGGTGTGATTTTCTGATTCTTTTTCTCCCCAGAAAACGTGTACCAGACCATCGCCCCTGTTAAATTTTCTTCAGTACCCGAGGATGTGTGGACCAGATCTCACCTAGTAATTTTTTTTAATGGTCTAGTTTTTGTGAGGTTATGGAACAGAAGCTTGAGATAAACAGATCTCCATCAATGGCACTGTCTTCAGTTGGTTTTTACTTACTGGAGCTTTTCTGTGTTGTGGGGAAGAATTCACATTCAGGAATGTATAAACCGGGGGTTTTATACAATCCTATTAATTCTGTTCCTTCCAGGTTCCACTTACAATGCACAGAAATAAAAAATTAAAAAAAAAATCAGATTCCCCAAAGTTGTATTTCTTTCTGTAGAACTGGGATGAGCCAGATCCATTAGGACAGCTGTGGTGCACATCCTCGGGCCTCGGCTGCTTCAGGGGGTCACTAAGCTCTCGTGGCTCACTGGTTTGTGTTGACCTGCTGTGTTAGTGTAAGTGGTGTATTCCAGTCCTGGCTGCATAGGTTTTGATTTGGAGTCCTAGAAATAGGCTCTGAAGTTCCATGGTATCTTTTTCTAGTGATACTGGAGGGGTATTTTGTTTGTTTCTGTTTTTGATTTTGATGATGGAATAGAGAGTGGAAGAGGAACCTCAGTCAATGCCCAGAACTACAGCTAAGTGATCTTCCAGCTTTTACACCACAAATGTTGCATTCTGCTGAGGGGAAAGAGAGAGGAACATGCAGTTTGGGAGAGAGAACAGCATTCAGGACCCATATAGTGTTGATCTATAGAGTACTGGGCTGACTTTACAAATGTTTGTAATTGAGGACAATTAGCAGAAAATGTGCCAGGCTCCATAACTTTACTTCCTGCCCTCTGCTCCATCCTTTTCTTGTCTGTTGTGTCCAGTCTTTATATTCATGCTGCAAAGGCAATGTGTTTCTTGACTGAACTGGTTTCTTTGTGCCTAGGTTGGAAGGAAGCCTGTGATGCGTGCAGCAGTCTGCATGCAGATCTGTGGTGACTGTAAGCACAGACAAGCAGGGGCCCGGTCTGTGTGGGGGCCCAGAATGGTGCCTTTGCCAGGCCTTGTGACCTCTCTGTCCCTTGCAAGTGTAATGTGTTGTCAGCACCTGGCAAACACCAGGGCAAGTCTGCCAAAGCAGAAAGATTAAGCTGAAATAAGCAAGTGTGTGCAAAGATTTTTCTCCCTTAGATTTCTCAAAATGAAAGGAATTGCTTACAGAATCCTCCTCTTAAATCTTGACAGAGACTCTTCAGCTCTTCAGAAGTGACAGTACTGTGTGGATAGGACTGAGTGAAACACAAACCACTGATAAGCCAGCGAAAGCACAGTCATCCCCATCCCTTCAGATAAATACAGTACCAGCTCAGTTCTGTGGGATATAAAACACTGACCTTGGACATTAAAATAAAATGCCCCTAATTCATGTCCTGCTTTCCTTTCTGTAGGAAGAAATTGTTGGAACAAGACTAGATAAAGAATTTGCAGTTAATTCCAAAGGATTTTTAACTTGGCAAGATGGTAATATACTTTTATTTAATTTGACTAGTAGCACGCTACATGGGTACTAGCCAGATGCAAATTTGGACTTCATTTAACAAGACAAGTACTAGCAGAGTCTGTGTATTTCCAGGTAATTTTTCAAACATGTAGATGACATTAAGCAGTCACTAACTGGCATGGAATCAAACCTTTTCTGGGAAGTCAACTGCTGCTTCTGCAGGCTCTGCTGGTGAGAGTTCTGCCCGAAGAGTGTGCTACCAAAGGCTCTGCACCCTTGTTAAAAAAGCTGTCACCTAATTCAACCATGCTACAGAGTCTAAAGTTTAAAATGTCACTTTGAGCCAGATTTCTCTTACTCAAATAAAGCAAAGCTTAAAAAAAGCATGCATTTTTAAGGAGATCTGAAGTGGTCTAAGTTGCAAGCTTGAGAAATACCCAGCTGAAATCAGCTGAGTAAAGTTTGCCTCATCAGATTATGTGCAAGCCTATAGTGACAGCTAACAATTCTGGATTTTACTCATGCCAGTTTACCTTTTCAGCTCTTAGTGGCTTTTCCTCTTTAGTCAGGCTTTGATTTTCTTCTTTGATCCTGCATGAAAACTTGTCCTTAGAGGCAATGTTGCCAGTAACAAAACGCAGCAGCAAAGCCTCCAGCTTTCCTCACCATCATTTAAATGCTGCTTGGCAGTGATGAAGCAGTTGTCACAAATTTTGCAGGAAGAAAGAGGAGAGCCCCCTGTGCATATGTGCTGTTTCCTTGATAGTGCAGCCAGGACTTTGCTACCGTTTCCCACTCGGCAGACAGAAACCTGCAAGGTGTTGCTGTGTTTCAGGTAAGTAATTTGAGACCAATGCTGTGAGTTGCTGTAGAGCTGTGTGCCTCAGCAGTGTTCACCTTGAATGGTAGCTTCCAGCTGAGCTGGGACACCTCAGCAAGGTGGAAGGGAGAAGAGTGAGCCCACGGGTGAGGAGCAGTGAGTCCATATGTGCTCCTTGCAATCCACCCATGGCAAACATCTAAACTGAGTCTTCATCTCTATTGTGAATTGTCCATGGTCCCAGTGTGGGAGGAGTGGGAGAGGGAAGAAGTCTGTTCTAGGGGGAGTGCTGGGTGCTGCACAAAGATGGGTGTCTGTACAAGAGTTTTGCTGTCACACTATCTCCAAGCTGGTGCACGTACTCCTGATGACTGCCCGGTGGTGTGGTGCTCCTGGGACACCAGCAAGCAAGGGAGAGGTAGAAGTTGGGCAGTGGTGGGCATGCGCTGCCACCTTGGCCAAAAGGGGCAGTGGAGCGTCAGCAGGGCTCGGCTTCTGGCTCGGTCTTGGCAGCAGCAGGTAGCAATGGTTTCTCATCGAGCATGATTTCTATCACCGCTCCGGATCGCTTGCGGGGCTCGGGGGTCTCTTCTGACCATCTGCCCACCCTGCGCACCCCTTTGGCCACTTTGGGTGCATTCCTGCAGGGGTTGTGGTCATAGATCACCAACTTCAGTCCAGGGAGGTGAGCAAGGCTGGGGAAGAACTGGATGGAGTTGCGATCCACGTCGATCACCTCCAGGAAAGGCATGTCCAGGAGCACGGGAGGGAACTCGGACAGCAGGTTTCCTGACAGCCAGATGGTGCGCAGCTCCTGCAGGCACTGCAGCTGGGGAGGGAGGGTGCGCAGGGCGTTGGAGCCGGCGTGCAGGGTCTTGAGCAGGCTGAGCTCACACACCACTTCGGGCAGGTACTGCAGGCAGTTGGACTCGATCCAGAGGGTCTTGAGATTCTGCAGGAGTCGGAGCTCAAGGGGCAGGCTGCAGAGCTTGTTGTTGCCCAGGTAGAGGATGCACAGCTGCTTCAGTGTGCACACAACTAGGGGCAGTGCTTTGAAGTTGTTGAAGTCCAGTGCCAAGATCTGCAGGTTTTGCAGCTGTTCCAGCTCAGGAGGCAGATGGTTCAAGTTGTTGTCACTCAGGTACAGCTTAACCAGTTCCCTAAAAGAGCAAATGTGCACAGGCAGCCGCCTCATCTGCCTGCCGCTCAGATCAACCATTTTATCCACGGGCATCTCTTCTAGGTCTTCCAGGAGGTACTTCTGGCACTTGTTAGAGGGCACAAAAGCAAGTATGGTTTTCAGGCTGTTGCCCATCTCAGGATTTTGTTTTGGGATGGCTGGGACTGCGAGGGATAGGAGCCTGCCTCGGTCTCCTGCTGCACACTGGCCTGTTGGTAACTTGTTCTTCCCAATATAAGGCTCTCTTTACATGGCACCAGCCATTAATCTCAAGGGCTCTGAAATGTTTCTGATAACTGAATGAGTGTTTGGTGAAGAGGATTATAGACAGGGTGACTCAGGGCCCAGGTCACCCTCTCTCACCCACACTCCCACTCGCTTGTCCCCCCCGAAAACATTCCTTCTTTCTTTCCTCTTCTTACACACTGTAAATGTTCTCTGATTTTGCCCCAAACAAAATTAGGGTCACACCAATACCCAGTCCCACACCTCTTGCTGCAGCTGTGCTGTCTGTGTAGCCAGTGCAGGCAGCAAGGATGGGCTTGAGATAGTAAACATCACAGCAGACCAAAATTTTAACCTCAGATGTTTAACTTTCATTAAACTTTCAGCAGAAATGTCAGATATAATCAAATTGTTGTTTAAAATACCTGTCAAGACTTGACTGACTTTCAAGATGAGTGGCACTTTCAGGGATGTATTTTGAAAGGTGCCAAATACTTGGATTTCAGAGTGTAACTTGCCACTCCGTATTTATCTTAAAGCTTTAACACAAATACTTGGCAAACTGCTATCTTGAGCAGTTCTACTGTTTATGTTCCTAATTTAATGGTATTTATTATAGCCTCTGGCACTCTTGACTGTATAGGAGGACCTTTTTCATTATGTTTTACTTCTTGTCAGCAGGGCCTTTTTCATTACATTATGTTTTACTCCTTGTCTGAATCCCAATGTAATGCACTATCACAAATCGCCAAGGTTGTTCTCCATCCTCTTTCCAGCTGTGCTACTGCAGTTCCCGTGTCTATACCAAAGCCTGTCATGAAACTCCCATGGATTTAATTCCATCAAGATTCTCACTTGTTATGAATGAAGTAAGTCCCATTTTGAAAAGTTATGGCTATTTAGATGTGACGATGTAAAGTGTTCTCTCATCAAGACCCATTTTGCTATTCAGTTCTAATTTCTAGGAGCATTCCTGTGTGTAGGAACCTCTGCATAGTTTGACATGTTGAGCTGCTGCTATTTCAAGCTTTCCTGGGTAGTCATACATGTCCCTACCCAGGCCAGTGGGCAGGTTGGAACTACATGATCTTAAAAATTTCTTCCAACCCAACCCATTCTATGATTGCCCTGCCTGGGTGTTGGCCATGGTTCTACCATGAACTTTGGATGTGAAAGCTGGCAGAGCTTTTTAAGGTAAAATAGCCTTTTCAGCACCTGCCTCTTTGTGTTGATATCTACAACTCATTGCTGTCATTCTCCACACTTACTGTAATTTAGGGAGAATACTTTCTTTGAACAATCTGCAGTTGGTTTCGGGGTATTAGGTGCTGTGCTACCAAAATCTGTGACTGCTGAGAACTACACACTCTTAAATCTAGAAGGCAGAGCAAACAGAAAATTGATGAAGAGGGACCACTTAAGGTGGCCTTTGGATTTCTGTTCAAATCTAGTTATATAGAGCTCTGTTCCATCACTTGTTTTCAAATGTAAAGCAGCACTTAGCTATCAATTTGGTATAGGCTATAGGCTGTTTATGACCCTTTTTCCCACAAGATGAGTGGCTGTGCCATGCAGCAGTGATGCTATGAAATGTATGGAGGAGTACAATAAAGAGGGCACCTGGGAAACAGTATTGTAGCAGGATAGAGAATTGAGTGGGTGCTGAGACCTGCGTGCCATAGAATAAGTTTTGGATGGAGAAGCTGGGTGGAGTATCAAGCCTGGAGAACAAAGACAGTGTCACAGTCATCTGTGGTGGTGCTGTGGAATAGAGGGCCTGAAAGTGCCCTCTCTGATGGTGGGATGTGCTGAGCATGGTGTCCCAGAAGCAAGAAGCCAGTTTGCACTGCATGAGCATATCCCTTTGGACACTTCTTCACTGCTTTGATACTCTGTGCCCTGTCAGAGGGCCACTGTGGGGAATGTGTCAGCAGGTTGTTGTATTTGTTTTTCATTTCTAAACAGCCGTGGTACCTTCTGAAGGCAAGGGTTCCCTCCCCTTAAGGCACTGTAGGCTATGGGTGTGGAAAACCAAGTGCATTTGGTATAATTAATAATGAATATACATCCACAGCAAAGCCTTGTCTTTTAGACAATTTTTTTCAGATAACCTACTAATCATTACAACATAAGAGCATAGCTAAGAATATATTAATGATGTAGTTTAGGCATATTTTTCTCAACAGTCCATATGTAGACAAATAACTTTGTGAAATACCTTACGTCTTCAGATACAGATATGGGTATTGTTTTTTTTCTTTTCTACTTTAATTATTTCTCCTTAATGGAACTTTTAAGCTGCAGATAACTATTTCTTAGGGATCCTTTCCACTGTAGTTTAATCATTATTCCAGCTTATCAAAAAAGGTCACGATGACCTTTTGTTGCTGCATTTTGTACCTCTGTTAACGAAGTTAATGTCTGCTTGGAACATAGCGTGAGATCAGAGAATTTGGGAAAGAATAACCTTTGTGTGTGGATTAATAAAGGACTACACTTGCAATAAAATGAACAATCATGTTCTTTCTGAGAATCAGCCACTCAGTGAAGGCACTAAGGCAAAGGCAGTCCTCACAGTAGACCCAGGTGGTGTTTTGAAAACCACTTCTAGTCTTCAAAGTTACTGTGGTGCCCTCCAAAAGGAACATTAACGACTTCCCAGAAACATTTGTAGCATTTGAGGAAAAGTTCAAGTGATAAAGGCACTCAGCACAGACATTGTCTTGCTCTTGTCAAAGTGACGCTGCCCTACCCAAGGGCATGACATCTGCTCTGCTGTCCATCAGGTGACAGGAGGGGGCTCCTTGAGGAATGCCCTTGCTTTCTAGAATTTCACAAATGGCTACATATTTGCTTACCATTCCCATTTGCAGCGCCCAGCTCTTGCAACTCAGTGGCCAGGTGACTCTGGGACAGAGTGGGATCGTTTGCTGTAAGTTGTGTAAAACCTCTGAGTCCAGGAGAAATGGGGACTATTACTCAGAGATACGTAATTGGAAAAGATTATAATAAAATAGAAATCAATATAAAAGATACATTTTTGAGATTCTATTATTTTTAAAACAAGATAGTATAATAGGGATGCTGGTGGATTTTCAGATCCAAAGCTCTGCCCACAGCTGTGTGATGACACCAGGCTCAGCCTTTGCTGAGTTTTTTAGCTGTTACAGTTTTGGAGGTACATTGGAAAAAGAAAACTATGTATTTCAAAATCCAGGGTAACTAATAAATAGAGCTCTAAACTTAGCAATTTTAAGGCTCTCTTACCCTCCTCCTCAATCAGTCTGACATAGCAAGGGAAGTGACAAAGGAGCAATTTTTGTTTGCTTTGTACTTAATTAGAGTCTGTGACAGACATTTAAACCCCTTCTTGGCTCACAAATGCTGAGTGTTTGGGTTTTTCTGCTGCCTTTTCTTGACATTGCTGCTGGAGCAGAAGATGACAACTCCTGCTTCCTCCATGTTCTTTGACATTCACTCCTTGCTGTGCTGTTGCACATCTGCTCTCTTTTGTGAGAATTACTTTGTTCCAGTTCACCTTTGCATAGTGAGAAGTTTATTTTAAATACGTGGTGTGTTGCAAAGAACAAAATGTGGTTGCTTCTTTCCCAGCATCCTACCATAGCCTTTTGAGCAAAAATGGCTGATTATTCAAAGCTGGCTTTAATATATGCTAGGCTGCAGTACGTGGTTGCTTACTGCTCTTTCTTGTGCAGAGGAAAGATTCAAAAAGTCTTGTAAATAAATTGCAGACTCAGTGCTCAGCTTCCTCCTGGGCAGCTGGTGGGTTGAGGGCTGTGCTCTGCCAAATCAGCCTCTCCTTGACACCGCTGTTTCTCTGCAGGCTTGACTTGAACCCAAGTGTCAGGCAGGGGTGGGAGCCACTAACCTCAGGAAACTTGAAGGAAAATAAATCCAAGAGAGCTCTCTCAAATGTCTTGCTGAAATGTGTGAAAAAATATTTCTGGTTTTTACTGTATGTTGCAGTATGGTACTGTTGTGTTTTTTACTTTGAAGATCCATTTTATGGGGTGGCAGTCACATTTATGTTTAAACTGGAGCTCTCCCATAAATAGGGAATTAAACTTCAGCTCTTAGGGGGTGACTTGTCATGAGCCCACCAAATGTCTGCTCAGCCTTGCTGAAATGTCTCCATGCAATTGGAAAATGGTTTGTCCTCTTTCTCTGCATTGAACACTTCTGAGCAGCATCTCACTTGAAAAGCAGCAAGTCCTTGGACTGCTTCCTCTTTCTCACGCTAACAGGAGCCAAGCTCACCCCATGTATTATATCTATGTAAAAAGCATTAAGGATTGTTAGTTAAATGTCTGTTTGGTCTAGACTGTGCCCTGGTTATCTGTGCCTGAGTAGCTGCAGTGGATACCACTATTTGCACAAACCAGCGGTTAGTCTGAGAAATGAATCAGTTTTCTGCCAAAGCACTGACCTCCTGCGATTGATTGACCTGGCGAGCTGCCCTCAGCTGACAACAGGCCATAAAAAAGGGACTTCTGAGCAAAGGAGTGTCATTAGACTGTGAACTGCTTGGAGCCATGAGGGCGATACTGTTGGCTGTGGTTTGCATCCCATTCATCGTGGCTCTGGAACGGTAAGGAAACACATCTGACTTCGCTGGCACACATCTCAGCTGGCTTCATGGGGTGACCTGTACTTGTTGCTACTTGAGGTCTCAAAAAAGAAACCTTTAAAAAAAAACCAACAAACTGAGTATATGACAGTTCTAGAAAGGACAATCAGGTTTTGTTGTGTGTTTATTTTATTTGCATAGAATCCCCTTGATTCGATTCAAATCTATCAAGAAACAGCTGAAGGAAAAGGGAGAATTAGAGGAATTTTGGAGGAATCACCACCCTGATGTTTTTGCCCGGAGGTATCTGCATTGTTTCCCTGCAGATATTGCTTTATCAGTAGGAACTACTTCAGAAAGGCTGTATGATTACATGAATGTAAGTACAGTTTTGGTAATGCAATCATTAGGACTCATCGTTCTACTGAAGGCAGGTTTTTTTTCCCCAGCACATTTCACATCTAGTCTGTCAATGAAATTATAGGGCTTGTGGTGTCTTGTTGCTTTAAGCTATAAATATTAGATCATAAAAAACAGGTTGCAATCTGTAAAATAAAACATATCTAGATCTAGGATAGCATGGAACCTGAGTGGAAAGCTGGTGTAGAGCAGCAGTGGTTGTCCTGTGACAAGTTTTATTTTTGTATAGAACTGTATTGGACTCGGTTGGGTCCCCAAAGAAATATGGAAGGTTTACCTATATCAGTCTTGGCAAACTATAGGGTTTTTCATTGCATAAATGATTATTTCATTTAGTCATATTCTGTTTACCAGACACTTGGATGCTTCTGTGTTATAAAACAATCCTCCAAATCTCATTTATTTATTCAGGTGGAGTCATAAATCAGCGATGACAAGGACTTAAGTAGAGTTTTTTATTTTTCTGCTTTTATATCTGAAGTTTAATATGTATTAAATATTGGAGACTGACCTGGGAGGGTTTACCATCTAAGCTGAAAAAGGAAAAAATATTAATTTCACTGGATCTCAGACAGGCAAGTCAGCAGATCTACGATTTTGTAAGCTGTCTTTCCTAGCTTTTGAATTTTGTCCATTTGGATGGTCTGTGTTTTCTGTTTTATTTGGTTTTTCTGCTATGCTTATCTCAAGGGAAACTAAGCTGCAGAAACATTGCAAAGTCTTCATCTGAACAGGGAATGGAATCGAAGGGAAAGCCAAATTCATTCAGCAAGAACTTACTGACACTTGAGGGCCATAAAGAAATAAGTATGTGAAGAACAAAGGACACTGAAACATTTCAACCTGCTTTAAAACTTATTTCAAAGAGGGATAAATGAAAATCTCAAAACAACAAAGCAAAACCCACTTCCCCAGCATATTCAGGTAGCACCAGGAACAGTTTTATTGCAGTGTATATGTGGGTTTTCTGGTTGTATGTTTTTTGGTGTTTATTTTTTGTTTTTTTTTAATGAACATGCCTTTGTTTAATGCAGGCAGAAATAGAATCCTACTGTATAGTTGGATATTCTCTTAAATGGCATGCTTGCTTGCTTTTTCAAGATTATCTCATTCAGACTGTGTATTCTGGGGTCAGAAACATCAGTGTTTTAACTAACAAGTATGCACTTGAAGGTACATATTCAAATACTTGTATTGCTGAAGACAGTTTGGCACTAGCTATTGCTTTTCTATCTGTGGTTGAATTCCAGAAATGCCTTTTCCTAAAAATAGGTCTCTTAATGCTGAAGTGCTCTTCCAGGGCCAGATAGGAGCACTTAGACACTTGTGTACGGGATGTGGATAAGCGCTTGGCTCCAGCATTCACGTGTTCACAGATTATCTCAGTCTCAACTGGTATCCAGGGATGGCCAGCGGTTTCTTCATCTGCTGGATGAACTTTGTCCAGTACATCAGGAACAGTTTGTGCAACACAATACTTTTTGACTTGCTTTAATAGCTGCTAATTACAAAGGAAAAAGGGAAGCCACACTGAGTATTTGTGCCAGTGGTCGGAGCCCTCTGAAGCTGGCAGAGGCACGTCGTGCTGACTTTGCAACACTGATTTCTTATTGACATCAGTAAGGAACAGCCTGAAAGTCTGTGTGGTGATGTGAGAGTTTCATCTTGAGGATGACCTTGCCACCTCTGAAGCCAGTGCAAGTGGGTTTGTTGACTCCATAGAGAAACCAACTGAATGTTTGCTTAAAAGGCTTTAAAAATGCCACACCATTGTTCATTCAGCTGGAATAAAACCTGCTGCTTGAAGCCACTCGTGGAACCAAACACTCTTCCTGTGGTGTGCATTTATGTTTAAATGTTTATGCAGAAGCCTCTGAGGGAGCGTTGTGTGGTGCTCCCGGTCAGGCCTCTTCCTCAGGAATATCTGGCTGGAGGCTGCCCGGGGTTGAGCGGGTTGTTCCTCCCGCAGGCGCAGTACTACGGGGTTGTGAGCGTCGGGACACCGCCCCAGAGGTTCACCGTCGTGTTTGACACCGGCTCCTCCAACTTCTGGGTCCCGTCCGCTTATTGCATCAGCGAGGCCTGCAGTAAGAAATGCTATTCTCCTCGATGCTTCTCTTGTCTTGGGTCCAGAGGTCTTGCCCACTTCTCCTTCCCCAAGAAGCTTGCCTGCAGATGGGATCTGCAAAGGGAGGTTTGGAGCGTCCCCTTGGAGCTCTCCTCTCCCCACTTTGCTTCTCTGTCCCTCACGTCACTCTGCAGCCAGGGCAAGCACCAGCTGCAGCTGCCCAGAATCCCTCTGCACCATGAGGTAAAAGGCATGAAAATAGACCTGGAGACCTACCAACAGAGGTGGAAATGCCCATTTTTGTTTTAATTTTTTTCCAAAATGCAAAATTACCTCTCAAGTACTGACAAACAGGGGTGTCTGGAGGGGAACTGAGGTGCCTACAGTACTTCTTCAACACTTTCTCTCTTGAGAGAAACAAAAATCTGGCTCTCCGACATCTCATCTCGTTCTGCACTGGGGAGTGAGTGGGTTGCCAGAACCTCCCCTCAGTGTAGAGATGTCATTTTCTTTGTGTAGGGGTGCACCAGAAATTTAAGTCCTTCAAGTCAGATTCATATGAGCACGGAGGGGAAGCCTTCTCCCTGCAGTATGGCTCAGGACAGCTTCTGGGCATTGCTGGCAAAGACACACTGCAGGTGAGTGTCCACCTAAAATGGGTGTCAGCCTCCACATCAGCTGTTTTCAGGGCAGTTCAGATACTGGCCTTGCCCTGGAAAACCTTGCCTGGTTTAAGCAAGGGCAGGGTGAAGTCCCACCAAGCTGAGTGCTTAGAGGTGTGGTAGCTTTGGGCTACCAACACAAATGCCTCAGATTTTATTTTTCATTTCTGATTGTCTTCTTGGATCATCTTCTGGGCTTATGAAGAAGCAGCCACATAATTAAGGCATTCTATGGAATTGGTGCTGCCTACCTGCCTAATGGGCATGTGCTATGTTGATTCAAGTCACACAAAGATAGCCAGGCTTTATGAATTGAATAAATCTACTGATATGGATCAGAAATATTGTTATTAGTGATCTCATTACTTTCAGTTGTGGTTGTTCTTTGTTTGGTTGTTTGTTGCCTTTTTTTTTTTTTTTTTTTTTTTTTTTTTTTTACCAAACAGATAAGTAACATCTCCATCAAGGGACAGGACTTTGGTGAATCGGTGTTTGAGCCAGGAACAACTTTTGTCCTTGCCCACTTTGATGGTGTACTGGGCTTAGGCTACCCCTCCTTAGCAGTGGGCAATGCTCTGCCTGTGTTTGACAGCATCATGAACCAACGCCTGGTAGAGGAGCCAGTCTTCTCTTTCTATCTGAAAAGGTCTGCCTTTAAAATTACACTGCTAAAAAAGAAGTAAATCTATTTCAATTGTTGATAGAAACAGCTGTGCATCTGTATAAAGCTTCAACCCTAGAAAGAAATTTCCCCCATTTTTTGATTCTTTGTGGGTTTTTTTTGTTTGTTTGTTTGTTTTCAATTTGACATTGAGGATTATGGCGTGAAAAGAAAAGATGTCCTGAGAGGACCATGACTTTTTTCACAGAGATCTATTCTTGTTGGAGCTGGTCATAAATAAAAGTTCCCAGCTCAGACTAGCCATGTCTGTTGCCAGAGGTTTCCCTCTGGCCTGTGCAGATGAACAGAAGTGCTGTGCTACACCCAAATAGCCACATTTCAGAAAAGTACTGTTCCCTAATCTAGACCTAGCTGCAACTCCACCTATTTAGTGCTTCTTTGGAGCTGGGCATAGCAACTGGCTCAGCCTGCTCCTGATGCCTACCTTGGTGTCTACAGTAAGTCTTCTCAGAGGTTGTTTGAAGGGTCTGAGTTAAACCATATACAGTGATACTTTAGAAATAATCCCTTTTAGCCACTCATATCTGAATTTAGAAAGGGCTTTAATTTGACTTTTGCTTTTTAAGTGTAATCTCATTGGTGCATGCTGGCACACTCCCATTCTGTGTTAAACTGTTTTTTGCTTTCAGAGGAGATGACACTGAGAATGGCGGTGAGTTGATTCTGGGGGGAATAGACCATTCTCGCTACAAAGGTTCAATCCACTGGGTCCCAGTCACTGAGAAAAGCTACTGGCAAATACACATGAACAAGTATGTATGTATGTATGTATGTCTGTACATGTGTTTAAATTCACCCCCCTAGGTGAACCCCCAGAGACAGAAACACCTGGTGACACAGGTGCAGGAGGACTCAGCTGCAGTGTTTTACCCCAGTGCCCTGCAAAGAGGGGTTCACCAGGATGAGATCGGGGTTTGTTGGTTCTCTAAATCTGCTGTGACATGGGCAGCTGGTTTCTTGGAGAGCATGTTAGTTTGTTTTAATATGATGCACCAGTGATCAATATGAGTCTTGGTGGACTGTTCTGTTAAGAGGTTAAGGCACCCAGGAATAGAATCCAGCTCTGTGTCCTGCTTTCATCTGTCCTTCTAATTTTGGTCAAAGTAGCCAGTGTTCCCTTGTCACACTTCTAGCACACTGCCTAAATTGATGAGAACACATACCTGGGGGTGAGGACATATTCATCAGCAGGAAGCACATGATTAAAGTTGTAGGAGTTTCGAGACAGAAAAGTGGGTCCATAGACATTCTTGTCTTTAGCAGAGCTTGGCAGCTAGTTTTAATCATAGAAATACAGAATCATTAGGGATGGAAAAGATCTTTAAGATCATTGAGTACAACTGTCACCCCAGCACCACTACCAAGTGCATCACTAAGCCATATCCCCAAGTGCCACATTCACACATCTTTTGAAGGCTTTCAAGGATGGTCACCCTACCACTTCCCTGGGCACCCTGTTCCAATGTTTTACAATGCTTTCTGTGAGAAAAGTGTTCCTAATATCCAATCTAAATCCACCCTGGTGCAACTTTAGGCCATTTCCTCTTGTCCTGTCCCTTGTTGTCTGGGATTAACTTCAGCCAGTAGTCTGTTACTTCAGCCAGCAGTAATATGGTGTTTCAGTCACAGTGTGTATGCCATTTGCTTAAAGATGCTTTTTTTGTTATTTTTTTTTATTTGCAGTATAAAGATCCAGGGCCGGGTGGCATTTTGCTCCCATGGCTGCGAAGCCATCGTTGACTCGGGCACTTCCCTTATCACCGGCCCCTCTTCACAAATCAGGAGATTGCAAGAATATATTGGGGCAAGTCCATCAAATATTGGAGAGGTAAAAACTGTACAGCCAGGGAACAGCTAGAGAGGAAGAGAAACTGGTATATGATGCAGAGTTGGAAAATAACAGAAATTATTTCTTAGACAGGTGCCAGCAAAAGCCTTATTTCCAGGACAGCCCTGATCTCTGAGCCAAGCTGCTCTTGACCTATTTGCCTTGCCTCAGCCCTCTTCCCAAATGTTCACTTCATCTTCTGTTGTGGTGTGTAAGGAAATATTGGGGATATCTGTTTGAAGAATTGATCTGTACTCTGCATGAGAGATACTTTTCTTTTGGAAGCTCAGAGGATTTTGGAGGTCTCCATCTCTAGCTGTTGGCTCTGTCAAGCTGGGAGGGATTTGGTCCTGGTGGCCAGCTGTGTCAGCATCAGATGTAAAGGGAATGGTATTTTAATGACAGCCCCACAGTGGTTTCACTGACAGGACCTCTCACTGTCGGCTTGCAGTGGAGCAGTTGGTGTCGTGCCAGAGCTCCTGGGAGGGATGCACATCAGCATCACTCACAATGCTGGCCCCTCACAGACGAGTCACAGGGTACAGGACAAGGCTTCCTGGCTCTTGCTCTTCCTCCTGAACCTTACTCCTCTGACTCTTTGCTAGTTTTCCTTTCTCCCCTGCTGCTGTCTCCTGCATCTCCCTTGCTGACACTCCTCACCAGTCCTTCCTGTCCCTGCCCCCAGGGAAAGAGCAGTTTATTTCTACCGTGCCTATTGCTGGCCCTTGGCTGACTCCCACAGGTCACCAGCACGTTGCCACAGCTCCAGTGCTCAAGGAAAGCTGCTGTGTGTAGCTTTTGCTAATTTTGCATTTCACAGAATATTCTGAATTGGAAGGGACCCACAAGGATCACCAAATCCAACTCAGGCAAATGACATGTACAGGGATCAAACTCACAACTTGGGTGTTATTAGCACCACCACATTCTAACCAACTGAGCTAATCTCAATTTGTCTTGATCCTGACCCAAAACTACTCTTGAAATAAAATTAGGAGTATTGCAAATGCCCAGTGCACTGGACAAAGAGCAAAGACAAAAGTGAATCCTTAATCCACTTTCATTTGTAAGAAGAGTATTTGCAGTGACCTCTGTGTAACTCCCGAGGCTCCTGATTCTTTCTCAATCAAACCTTTAATCTTGATTTTATTCAAATTTTTAGATACATGCCAAAGAGAATTCTCTGATAACAAGCTGGTTCATGCTAATGAACATAGATAAAATATTAATTTCCAATGTACTTATACTAGCCTAATACAAACAAGGAATGGGTCATTGCTGTGTGGGTTCATATACACCAGTGCTGACCTAAGAACATTCATTGGGCATCCCAGATTTCACAAAAAAGCATTCTGAAAACAAGACTTTCTATGACTGATTTTTAGCAATCACAGACAGACTGCACATATTGGCTCAAATTTATCTCAGTAAAAGTGAGTGTATCCATCCTGGATTTTACCAGGACTTTTATCTCTTTTCAGCAATGATTGATTTGTTCTGGATATACTAATTCTGTAATAGCTATGTGAAATAATTATGTCTCCCTTCTAGTATTCTAGAAAAAAGCATTTTACTGGATTTTTGTACCCTTTTCCTCTGTATCCCATAATTTGTTTTGTTTTAATGGTATGACAGTTCCTAAGTGTACAGAAGATGTAGGATTATGCTTTCATAAAATAGATTGAAAAACAACAAAAAGCAGATTCTTCCTTCTAGGAAGCCTCTAAAACAATGACTTAAAACACTACAGTTTACATCAAAGATTCCTCTGGGACTTGGAGCATTCTGCAGTGCCATTTCACTCACCAGTTGTTTCATGAAATAACTAGAAAGGCCAGGAAATTATCTTCTCTGTTAATGTAACTGAATATATTATTTATGGACATTAATGACCATTAATGACCATGCCAGAGTTTATCCCTTCTACTCTTTAAATCCCACTCCAGGGCCAAGTATAAGCATAAAGTGATGTATTCCTCACTATCTTTTTGTTCCCTAGTGTGATGGCATTATGGGAGGACCTGGGGTGAATTGCACCCATCGGTGCTCCCTCTGTGGCTGGAGCACTCCCTCTGCCTGTCAAGGCCAGAGCATTGGAGAACTGCTCAGCAGCCCTTGCTGATGTAGGCTCGCTGGGGCTCACACACTTCGTTTTGCCTTTGAGTTGCACAGGGAAGATATCAGAGCCCATTCACCTCATTTCTTTTTGGACTTGAAAGGATTTTCTCCAGCCCTGGCTCCCTAGGGTGCAGTGGTCTGGGCTGCTGGGCTGGTTTGACTGAGTACAGGAAAGCTGGAGGGCAGTGTTAGGCTGTAAGTCAGCCTGATGCTGTTTCTCTGTAGTAAATTCACTATTACCTACCCCAGAAGCCTTGAATTCCAAGAACAATACTTAAAGAAAAACAAAGCCATCCCATCTCAGTCAGTGCATTGTGTCCAGTTTCTCGTAGACTGCAGAAGACTGTCGAGCTTGCCTCACATAAGCTTCACCATCGGACACCGCGAATACAAGCTGACAGCAGAGCAGTACATCATAAAGGTGTGTATCCACAGCTTCCCTGCTCCTCACCCCCTGAGCTGGGGATGGAGCAGGCTGCTGCAGGGACATCTGCTTTCCCTTCCAGGAGTCTATTGATGACCAAACCTTCTGCATGAGCGGCTTTCAGTCTCTCGACATCCCCACTCGCACTGGCTCGCTCTGGATTTTAGGAGACGTCTTCATGTCTGCATTTTACTGTATTTTTGACCGTGGGAATGACAGAGTGGGATTTGCAAAAGCTGTTCACAGGAAGGATTACTACTGAGCTGTAATAGCATTAATTCTGTCTTAGCTCAGGTTAATGTAATGATCTTCAACAATGTGAAGAAGAGCTTTTGCTGAAACTCTGGACCTAAATGGGCATTGTGTTGTCCCCATCCAAGTTTTAAGGAATTTGCAACGATCCTTGTCCCAAATGATACACTGTGATTAAATATCTATATGTTTACAATGGAGAAACAGTTTTTTTTCTGAGTAACTATCACATTACAGCTCTCAAATAAAGCAGAAGTGCAGCTCAGCACTCAGATTTGCAAAAGATCAGGAAGAATGAAAATGCTGAACTGTGCCAGGCTGAAAAGATAGCAGCTATGTGTGGGGAAAACTAATCCTAGTCCTGCTTGGTCTGACGATCCCTTTTTTTTCTTGTGCACTAGTTTCCACCTCATTTCTACAGCTTTCTTTCCATCATTATTTTCCATGGTTTGGGTTTCGTTCAACTTAGTTTCCTGAGTTCCATGGAAATTCTCTTTAAATTAGCTTGCTTCAACCAGCTTATATAAAAGGGAATTTGACAGATGCCTGTGTGGCCACTAACTTCAGCTACTGTTCCTTGCATGATTTCCTGCTCCTTACACCACCTCTCAAACCTGCTTTTTCCCTGGGATTCATTATCCCTTGATAATTCGCCTTTTTTTGGGTCTGGGCATTTGATGCCCATGCCTTAGGTCAGAGGCTGCTTTTAGTGCCTGTCTCCTCTCCCCTTTGGCAGAGTGAGCAGCTGGAGCAACATCTATTCATGCTAGAAAACCCAGACTACAGTGTTCCTCCACCTCAGATGAGTTATGGGACCCATGCAGCAGCACTACACATCTACTGCCCCTTGCTCAGCCACTTCTTGTCAGCAGTGGCAGAAGTTTCAGATGAAACAGCCACAGGTAGCTGCACTGATTTGGCAAAAGATTCACCTAAATTCTACCCATTGGAATATTTGTTTGGATTACTGATCCAAAGCTGATACTGCCCCCATACACATGAATTAAACATAACCAAACAAAATCTGCTTTGATCTTAGCACTGGTGTTTCAGTTATATTTTATGCTTGTTTACAGTGGTTCCAGTTCTGGGAGGAAGGGGAGTTGAGGGTGGAACAACAATTGAAAATTCAGGTTGCTCTGTGTCCTGGAGGAAAAGAATGTCATGTGTTGGGGCTGCTGGTATTTTCCTAAAGCAAAAAAATGTCTGCAGTCCCAGCCATGTGTACTGGGCACTTCCCCAGCAGGGCAGAGCCACGGGGAGATGGACACTGGCCCCATGGTGGCATTGCTGGGACAGAGGCTGGTGGCCCCCAGGCACCTGCTGCTGCTGCTGTCTGGATGTGCCTGGCACAGACCAAAGGCAATGTCCATTGCTGCCTTGGCCGTTTCACAATCACAGCCCTTTAGATTGTAAGTTTTCAGTGGTAAGACTCAGTATTACAAAAACAGGATGGCTTTCCTGTAGGTATCTCTGAAATACTGATCTTGACTTTTCAGTATGAAATAATCCTTCTTTCTGGTGCCTGTTTTCATGACTCTCTATTTGCAGCCACATTGTGTTACACATTTGGCATCCAGGCTCTCAACCTCTAGCAAAGAGGGCTCTGCTGCCAGCTGTCTCTTTCTGCAGACAAGACTGAGCTGTGTGAAGTTACTGTGTATTTCAGGCCAGCCTTGCCTTGATCATGCCACTCTTGAAGGACGGATTGACCATGAGTTAACTGATTTGTCTAGAAAATATCATCTGTTTGGTCATGAACCAAGTCAAACATCTATAAAGCCCCATCCCCCATTTAACAGCAGCAGGGTATTTTTGTTTTCTATGCAGCATACCTAACACTCTGGTACATTTTCATTATATATAAAATATGTATCTGTTTCTCAAATATGAGTTTACAATCAGAGTTAGAGATCTATTATTTACAGCAGAAGATTTTAAGGGTGTTGGGACATGTCCCCCCAACCAGTCAGTCCCAGCACTGACATCTTGCCTCTATGAATTCCAGCACAGAGTGTGAACACATCTTAGAAACAGGTGGAAAGTCAGGCAGCATGCCCTCTCTTTGTTCTGATATCTCTGATCTTGTGCAAGATTAACACCATCTGATGGGAGCAAACTGCTGCTCTGACCTACTTGTCTATCCTGGCCCTGTTCTATCCTTGTCCAACTTGGCCAGCTTCTGGAAGTGCCTTGCTGTTCCTGGTAGACATCAAGTTGATTTGCATGATAGGTCAAGCCCTTGCCAGAAGTGCTTCTTGAGAGTTCAGTACAACCAGGATGATGGTGTTTCTCAAAGTGCCTTTATTCATGCAATAATTCAACATTGCTTATACCTGTGAACATGAATTGTAGATTGTTTTGCTAAAATACTCCATGTACCACGCCAAGGCAAATAGTTTACTGAGAGAAGTGCCTAAGAGAGCACATAATCCCAAATGATAACTTAATGCAAATCAGAGTACACTGATGTTTGCCAAAGTGAGATAAGACTAAATGAGGAGAGGAAATTTTTCTGGTAATTTATCCCAGCACTAGCTTCTTCAGAAGCAATGAACAGAATACTGTAGCTAACCTGGAGCTGGCCCACTGTATGAAATGCTGGCTGTGTATTACAGATGGCACTGTGTGACTTCAGAGCTGTAATTCCTAATTTAGCATGTATCTACATGTGTAATAGACACCTCTGTGCAGCTTAACTGAAGCTCTTGCCTACTTAATGGCTGCTGCGTGGCCACCCTTAGCCTCCATCAAGTAATGAACACAGCTGCAGGGCCAGGGAGTGCTGGCAGAGTGAGTGGGAGAGGTAGCAAAATCATTGCTGATTAGATGTATAATGTCCTGATGGAAAGCAGCAGTGTGCTTCCTAGGCAGCAGCCAACCTGAGAAGAAGATGAGCAGAGCTGGAGAAGCTGGGAAAGCTTTTCCTGCTTAAATGTGCTGGGATGAAACAAGCTGATGTCTGGGTTAGGGACAAAGAGCACTTTGGTCCAGTACCTGAAGCCCTGGTGGAAGCTGTGTGAAGGGTTAGAGGGGGGAGGTATGGTGGAACTGTACTCCCAGTGCAGATTTGTGGTGGACACTTGAGTCATCTTTAATTTCTGGCTTAATTTCTCTTGCAGTGGAAAGTACACCCCTCAAGCTTGTCTACTGTGAGGAGAGAGCTAGATAAAGGGCCAGGCTTCCTTCAGAGCTGCTGAAAACCCTTCCTATACATGCATGGCTGGGAGGAGTATGGACAAACTCCCCAGAAACTTGTGTTGCTCTCCTGACTTCCACTAAAGTGCTATAGAGGAGAGCAGCTGTTACTTTTACTTTGCTCCTAGCTGTGTGACTGGAGCTATCTGGCTGTCCTTAAAATGTATTGTTAATACTTAAAATTAGCCCTTTATGTAAGTTAAGCTCATTGGTAAATTAAGTTCCTTGACAATTGCAGATGCAATTAGATTGAGAAACATTGAATTGCAAAATGTGGCTTCAGCTACAAGAAGAAAGAGGAAATCAGGAGGAAAAAGGGAATGCTTCCAGAAGTTGCATAAGGCCATTCAGAAAATTGGACTCCTAGGCCAAGGCATTGTTCATTTCTGTACGATTTCACTCCAGAGTTTCTCATTTTTTTTGGTCAAACCTGAATATAGCAACCTGAATTGCCTGAAGACTTGTGGAGTGGCAAGGGTGAGGTTGCACCAGAACGCCTGACTCTGAGCTGTGATCAAATTTCAATAAGCTGCTGTCAGACTCCAGTGTCACCTCTTCTCATGGTGTGAAGAAGTCCTTCCATAGGTGTTTGACAAATCTGTGCTTGGCTTCCCTGCATATATGGAATTCCCATAATATGAGTTTAAACAGTGCTTCCTTGGGCCATGTGTCCTCTGCTTCCTAAACTGATGGGATACATGTGGTGTTGTCTAGTGTCTTTGGAGAATTTGAGAGCATGGCTCTGCTCAGCCTGGGCCTAATATACAGCAGCAGGAGCTATTTTCCAGACTGAAATAAAGCTGGAAGAAGTACAAGTGGGGAGGGCAGCTGATTTTTTGTTCAAAGCCTACCCAGATGAGATACAGTCCTGTTGTATGTGGTACCAGCTAGAAGGGCTCCTCACTTAAGTTGTTGGCCAAAGGAGCAGGAACAAGCAGGTCTGTTCATTCCCTTCCCAGGATCAGGGAGTCCTAAAGTCTCCCAGGAGCCACTGGTGTTTCCAGTGACCATGGCAGAGAGGCTGGTTTGTTTTTTGAAACGCAACCTTCTGAGCAGGAGAGCTGGGTGGACTCATTGTCCATGCAGTCCATAATGCTTTTTCTGGTTGTTGCAGACTCATAACTTTCAGTCCCCCCATTTCTCTGTTCTTTCAGTCCCTGAGCTACCTTGTCTCTCCCTTGTCTATCTTCTACTTGGATACTCACAGATTGGAGAATGCTGGCAACATGCTCCAGACTGCACTTTTGTAAACGTGGATCAGAGCTAAACCCAAGGAGCTGTGGCTGCTTTCCTGGCCTACTTTGAGACTTCTTGCAGGAGTGATAGCTGAAAGGTCAGGTCACTATCAGCAGGTTTAGGGCGGTGGCTTGGTCATCCCTGGAGTAGCAGGAGCCACCTAATTCTGTCTCAGGTTTGGGTTAATCAAGAATGTGTGTGGTACACCTGGGAAGCATGAGAATGGAGGAGAGGTTTAGGAAGTGGAGAACAGTTTTGGTAGGAGACATGGGCCCCTTTGGTGTCTGCCTGGGATGACTATAGCCTGTGCACTTCCTGCTGAAGATCTCCACAAGAGTGGAGCACTAAGCTTAGTTGCACCTGCAACTCCATCACCTCTTGAGAGAGTGCTGCAGCCATGTCATTGCTAGGGAGGCCACCTGGGAATCTCATTTTACAATAAAGTGTCACTGGGTATGTCACATATGTGCTCCATGGCTCAGTCATCCCATGCACAGCTCATCAGCTGTTTTGCACCTTCCATTTTTAAAAATGAAATGAAACATTTAATTATTTTATTTTTTTCTACTCTTTAGTGGCATAGCTTCATCAGGAGTGGGGCAGAATACTGTCCTACACAAATGAGGGGCCTGATTTTTCAAATGTTCCTTCAGGCAGTGAGAGATGGTGGGCTGGATCTCTCCAGGATGAGAAAGGAATTAAGCCCATGTCTTGCCTTTGAGCTACTTGAGTAGAACCCAAAACTTGTTAGATCTTACAGGGATGA